TTAATTATTAGCGGTTAACTCACTTGTTAACTGATACATGTTTTGTTACCTAATAAATTTACTCAGTTCGAGAGAGAAATTGAAACTTCAACAATATTTATTTGCTAACATATAATACCTAACGCATGTATTAACATCTACAAATTTGTTAACAAATAACACCTCTATGAACACTTACAGTACATGTTTTTTTAAAAGCTAACACATTTGTTAACATTTACAAAATTTGTTAATAGTTACTGCCTCTGTTAATAAATATGGTACATGTATTTGTTAAGAGCTAGCATATCTGTTAACATCTACAAAATTGTTAACAGTTAATGTCTGTTAATACACCTGGTACATGTATTTGTTAACATCTAACACCATATTATTTTCTATATATAGTATTAACAACACATTTGTTAGTACTATATATAAAAAATAATTTGAAAAAATATTATTATTTCATAAGGTGAAGAAAAGAACAAAAACAATTGAAGAGAGAATGACAAAAAAATAAAAAGAGATGATGAGAGAGTTTGAATTAGAGATAGAGTAGGAAAAAAGTGGAATCGTCATTATAGAGTGTCAGGAGAGAGAATATTAGGAGAGATAGTGGTGAGAATAATGTCAAAATGGTCATTATTTTATTAATTTCAAATCATGAGTAATTAGCAAATTAAGAAGTCATTTAGAGTGTACCAGCAAATTATCTCTTTAATAAATAAATATCTAAAAAGTTAATTGCAACTAATCAAATAAGTTAAGCTATTAAAACTACAATTAATGTTTATTAATAACTTCGAAATATATACTCCCTCCGTTTCGAAATAATTGTCATTCTAGAGAAAAAATTTTGTTTCAAAATAAGTGTGTTTTAGAGTTTCGAGGAAAAATTTATTAGTTTTATATGATATTCTATTTTTCTATTGGTTGAAAATGAGTTAGGTCTATTAGTAATTGTGTTTTTATCTTGGAAATATGTAAAATTAAATGTTTCCTTAATCTATGTGTAAAACCTTAGAATGACAATTAAAATGAAACGGAGGGAGTATATTCTTTACATTTAGAGATATGTATAATAAATATGTATAAATTTAGAATAAAAATATCTACCTATTTATTTATTATTAAGAACTAAAATATATATTCAACATAAATAATAGATTATTATAATAAAATAAATAATATATAAACAAAAAATATATGACACCTTCATTGCTATATATATACATTTAAATTTTAACCCATAAGATATATATATATAACCATAAAAATTAATAAAATTAATGCATATAGACTATAAAACCATATTAAATATATATTAAATATTTTAAGCATAAAAATGTATACAATCAATTACTCATTCCGTTTCATATTAAGTGTCGTTGTAGAGAATTTTTTGCGTAACAAAATAAGTGTCATTTTCGGTTTTCAATGCAAAATTTATTAATTTTATTATGTAATTAGTTTTTCTATTGGTTAAAATATGGTTAGATGTATAGTTAACTGTGTTTTTATATATAGGAAATATGTAAAATTAATTGTTTCCTTAATCCATATGCACAGCTATAGAGTGACACTTATAATGAAACAGAGGGAATATGTATGAAACTTTTTAACAATATAATTTTTTTAAACACCCTCACGGGCGTGCGAGTCAGAATCTAGTTATGTTCCTTATTATTTAATCAACACTAGATTTTCACCCGCGCTTAGAAAGCGCGGGTATTTGTTGTTGAGTAAAATTTGAGTGAAGTTATAATTTTTATTAGAAATAAATAATTTAAAATTTTAATATAATGTTTGAGTTTCGAATAGTGTTTTCATATCAATTTAGATTTGTTATCGAACCAACAAATCCAGTAATCTATATATAGTCCGGTTTCGATTTANACTAGATTTTCACCCGCGCTTAGAAAGCGCGGGTATTTGTTGTTGAGTAAAATTTGAGTGAAGTTATAATTTTTATTAGAAATAAATAATTTAAAATTTTAATATAATGTTTGAGTTTCGAATAGTGTTTTCATATCAATTTAGATTTGTTATCGAACCAACAAATCCAGTAATCTATATATAGTCCGGTTTCGATTTAATGAAACAAAACATGGTAAATGTACGGTAAAATATTCAAAAACCTTGCTATTAACCGCGACTGATACCGGTTGATCCGATAAAACATGAAAATCTGATAACATTTTTTAAAAATATTTGATTAAATTACTTATATATTTTTAAATATTGCATAAATTAAATAAACTTGTGATTCTTTATACTTTGATGAATTTGTTTTATTATGTCATTCGAAGAAAGTGAAAACATAGTAGTAGAAAGAAAGATAAATTCCATTGATATGATAATATTAGTTTTTTTTATTATGCACCTATTCTAAGTTTAATTTTATTTTTATTTTTATTTTAGATTTAAAATTTATTTTATAAAAAATTTAGATATTTTTGAAGGTCAAAATTGTAAGTTAGTTATTTTGTGAAATATTAAGTTAGTTAGCAATCCATAAGTGTATGATATCTTGTCTCGTAAATGGAATATTTGTAGAAATCTTAATATTTTTTATACAAAATCATAACTAAATATTTTTATATTTACTAACATATTGGTATAATCCTATAATGTTAAAAGTAAATTATGTTGCCAAACATTTGAACTATGTAAAAAGATTATGTTCTAGGCTTAAAAACCAATTGACCCAAATTAATTCAAATCTATAATAGCTGAAATATAAAAAACACAAAGATAAATTAGCTCGTGCACAAAATAACAGATGATAAATTACCTCAGTTCAAATATATACTAACCACTCATCATGAGCCTCGCAAAGCAGCACCTTCAGAAGTCATCTTTCTTACCAAACCTTCTAGAGAGCCAAAGTGAGTTTCAATGGCGCCATCACGAGCTTCCTTCCGTGGCACTCCACAACCTTTCTGAAACTGTTAAAACATATACACCATTAAGCACAAAAAATTAATTGGAAAGATATAGAAAGAAATTCAATACAAATTCACGTTGATAAGAGCATGGTTCTTCTACAAAATTGAGTAGTTCATGACCTGCAACAAAAGATATAAAAACCTATGAGTTTCATTCTCTTGAACAAAGAAAAAAAAATATTCGCTTCCCCACCTTGTATTGAGTAAACATTAAGGACGGATTCAAACCAAAACTTTAGTTAGACTAAATTTCGTTTAATGTCAATTATATATATCTTGTCCTCAGCTCAAGACTCAGCAGCCTTAAATACCTCCTAAACTAACTTCTGTTGCTGAACAAACTTTGAATCCACTCTGAGAAAGGTTTCATCTAACGATCAGTCTCTATATACTAATCATCAAAACCAGATTTATGTACTAACACAACTACATTAACAACTAAACCTCTTCTCAACTCGATTCATCAAACGGCCATAACTTTTATATAAATCTGCTATCCAAACAATTACAAATCAACCGCCCGAACAAAAAAGATCCGAAAATGAAACTAAGAAGACGTCAAAACACTCCTAAAAACCTCGCCTTTGAATCTGATGTCACTCTGCAAATTGACGTCGTACGTCTGGTCACTGGTGATGAATTTGCATATCTCATCACTAATCGACAGCTCCAACACGTTTTAATCATAGGGAAGATTAAGAAGTGCTAAGTAAGGTCTGGATTCTTCGGAAAACCAGAAGCCTCGATGACGTCTCTGTCGGCTAGGTTTTTTCTACTCACTACCGAACGAAGATCATGAGATACGCAAACAAAATGATGGCCAAGAATAAAAAATTTTTGTTATAGAAGAATGGTTAGACTAAATCATGAAAATCATTGTATAGAATTGGTTTATTCATACAAATCTCAAAGTCTCAATAATGAAATCCAGTTTCGTGGTGTGTGAAACAATAATCGTATAATTAGAGTAATTAATTGTTTATAGTTAGAGTAAATAATTGTTGGACCAAAAAATAATTAAATAATGAATAGGTCCAAACAACCTTGTATAAGTAGATTTTTTTAGACTCCTTCTCTTTTAATAGTATAGATNATTCATACAAATCTCAAAGTCTCAATAATGAAATCCAGTTTCGTGGTGTGTGAAACAATAATCGTATAATTAGAGTAATTAATTGTTTATAGTTAGAGTAAATAATTGTTGGACCAAAAAATAATTAAATAATGAATAGGTCCAAACAACCTTGTATAAGTAGATTTTTTTAGACTCCTTCTCTTTTAATAGTATAGATTATGCTTATCTAAATGATTTTGTCCACTGTTGATTGGATAATAAAGAGCATTATGTTTATGCTAATGCTTTACCAATCAAGACCTATGGTAAAAGTGTTGTTAGTTGAACCCCAATGTGTTATAAGCAACTCTTTATGTTAGTTACTGTGAGTAAGATTGTGTATTATCTCAACTATTTAGGAGATGAAACGTCCATTTGCTTCGATGAAGGCTCTTGAAATGGAAGAAGTCATCGAGGACATTATAAAAAAGATTAAATGAGACTGCAAATAGGAGGCTCTTCTTGTCAACTATGTAGAAGATGAAACGTCCATTTGCTTCTACCTTGGCCTCAGTTTAAAATCAATTAGGATTCCATTAAAGACTTTCTAGAGCAATGTCAGATTCACTTTTATTGTTTCTGTATGAGCACTGTAAGTGCAGTCTCGTCGTTTTCCAATTCATGATTGGCTTAGTTGATTTGTGTAGTTTGTGAGATTAAACTCGTATTTGTAAGGGTAGTTTGATTCATCTACTTGATTAAACGAAACCGATGCTGAAGCGTTTTATAGTTGTTGTAATGAGGTATGGTTTTGATACGCTTTCCATTGGTTAAACCATAAATGTAATAACACATTTAGAATGTGTTACAAGACAAACATCCATTTGCCTGACGCTTACTGATAAGTACAATCCCTCATGAATAGAAAAGTTCACTACGTTTAGGTTTCACTTTGGTAAAAAAGCTACAGAAGAAAGGCTTTGAATCCCAACAACCATTATTGTCATCAAACCACATTACCTAATTCCAAACATGGAAACCAGCAAAGCTATCAAGAGAACAACACGAAATCTAAAACCTGCTTTACAAGCAGGAGAGGATGGCATAGCCTTATCAGCAGCTTCAATCTTCTCATTATCGGCGCTTGGAGTAGGAGCTGGAGAATCAACCTCCTGTGAATCTGTTGTACGTTTTGGAATAGTAGTATCTTCATCAGCTGGTTCAGGACCTGGAGCATTTGCAGCATCCGTAGGAGATGGAGGTGGAGCTAAAGGAGCAGGTGGAGGTGGAGGAGGGAAAAGTTCAAGGCTGAGTCCAGGAGCCACAATAGGCATGCTAATCTGGATTATAGACAAGTTATATGGATTGTCGTACAACTCCTTAACATACTCAGCGACCAAAGGTGAACCCTTCACTCCTGATCCAAAGTAAACTTTTCCTTTTGATTTGGTACAGTTGAGGAAACCATTCATCTCTTCACCTAAACCGGTTGTTTGGTATAAGGTAGTGAACATTATGCTCTTCTCCTTCATCCCTTTAAACTTGATCTCATCGTAGTAATCAAGAATGACATGATTCATGAGAATGTTCTTGACCTCAACGTCGGATCTGTTAACGATGGGGCTGATGGCTTTATTGTTAACAGCAAGTAAGGTTATGGTCAGGTACTTGCTTATGGGTACCGTGAGCTTGGTTTTGATCAAGAGATCATTCATGGTGCTGAAGTCGGAGTACTTCTCGAACGCCTTAGTGATGTTATCTGCTGTAACGGCCGTAGAGAAAAATATGAGGGGGAAGAGACAGAGAGGAAGGGTGGCGTTGGGACCCATCTTGTATGTTCTCTTTTGGTATAGTGAAAGCTAAAACCTCTATGGCTTCTCTCTCACGTTTGTTATTTATGTAGATGAAGTGAGGGAGTTGTAGAAGAATCATGATTAGAAGGAGAGATTTACTCTCTTTTGTTGGTGTTAAATCGGAACTGTGAGCTAAGTCCACTCTTCTATTTTTAGTGTGTAACAAGACTTGGCCGTTAGATAGTTTAGGCTTTAACATGTGTGTTTTGTTTTAAGGTTAGTTTTAGTTATTTAGGTTAGTGCAATCTTGAGGTTTTATGTTGTGGTAGAAAGCCCAAGTGTAGTGGATAAAGATGTAATGACACTAATGTTTGGAGTAATAATAAATATCAATTTTTAACGTTGATTTGTTATCATACAATTATGAAAAAAATTATATAAACAATTTTATAACCTACAGTTTATACGTGAAGATCCACTTTAAACTCATAATTTCTTCGACAGCAATTTTCTATTGGCAATAAATTTTACTTCAGAAAATCTTACTTCAGAAAATCTTACTTCAAGACTCATCTCAGTTTGTAAAAATTATTAAACTGTATATTTTGAAGAATAGTTTTCTTTCCTTGTGTATATGAAGATAAGTCTTTCTTGGAAACAGAAGTTCTGATTAAAGCCGTTAAGAGCACCTCCATTGAAGGTTCATGGGGGAGAGTTCACACGGAAATCAAGAAAAAAAAAATAAAATAATAAAAATCTATGAATCTCTCTCTCCTAAAGTTCACCGCGGTGAACCCCTCTCCTGAGGTTCAACACGTGGCGGCTCAGGATTGGTCTAGATTTTTTTTTTGTTTTTTTGTTTTAAAAAAGAAAATCAAAAAGAAAACAGAAAATCTATATATAATAGCAAAGTGAAAGTGACATCAGCATTTTTTTATAGGAAAAAAAAAGTTTAATCCAATGGTCATAGTTAACTTGATTTTAAAATCTAATGGACCAAAAATAACCTTTTCATATGATTGATGATGTCATCAAATATTTGACAACTCTTCATTGAAAATGCATATATTTCATTTTAATAACCACAATCATATTTGTCATACATTTTCATAAGTTTAAATATTAATATTGACTTTTTATAAGATAATATTTGTATGTGTTGTGATCGAAGATGTATGAACGTATCGTGATTCAAGAGGTACGAACATGTCGTGACCTAAGAGGTACGAACATGTCGCGGCCTAAGAGGTACAAATGTGTCATGAACCAAGAGGTACGAACATGTCGTGACCCAAGAGGTGTGAACGTATCAGAACCGAAATGGTGCGAACGTGTCGGGACCGAAAGGGGTGCGAACGTGTCGGGACCGAAAGGGTGCGAACGTATCGGGACCGAAAGGGTGCCAACGGTTTGGGACCGAAAGGGTGCGAACGGTTCGGGACTGAAATGGTGCGAACGGTTCGGGATCGAAAGGGTGCGAACAGTTCGGGACCAAAAGGTGCGAACTGTTCGGGACCGAAAGGGTGTTCGGCACCGAAAGGGTGCGAACGGTTCGGCACCAAAAGGTTGCGAACGATTCGATACCGAAAGGGTGCGAACGGTTCGGCACCGAAAGGGTGCGAACGGTTCGGCACCGAAAGGGTGCGAACGGTTCGGCACCGAAAGGGTGCGAACGGTTCGGCACCGAAAGGGTGCGAACGGTTCGGCACCGAAAGGGTGCGAACGGTTCGGCACCGAAAGGGTGCGAACGGTTCGGCACCGAAAGGGTGCGAACGGTTCGG